CGCATACATGGTACCTAAGAAACCTCTGCTCAGCACTTTTTCCAAAATCCTTAAAACATTGGTTACTTAGAACACTGAAGGAGTAACAGTGACAAGTCTTAAGTTCATAAATAATGATATTTAAAATATTTATACATATGTACTAGGATCACATATATAAATGAGGTATGTTTTATACATATTTATTTTTCACTACACGGTTACTTTGCTCTGCAAATAATTATTTGGTGCTTTATTTRCTTTTAATAAGTAAATATTTAAATAAATACATACGTACTTTTATAACACCATTTCTACGAGATGTGGAAATACATACAATATTTATGTATGTRCATATGTACATATGTAGTATGTAASCATTTATACTTTTYCTTYGCCTTTAAATGTGCTCCCTTTGTTCAACCGTCGAATCAGCTGTGTAATTCGAACCGCTGCTGCGCTGACATCAGCCTGCGTTAACGTCGCAGCGGTCGCAGCTCTGTCGACCATTTACTGTTTGGCACTTGCCTATGTTACCTTAAAAGTTGTTGGTGCGCCAAATGATTGAGCGGCACATGCGTAGTTGCTGTTGATAAAATTCTGCTGTTTTGACGGCGAACCAGATGAAGTTCTCGGACTTTTTAACATTTCCACACACAAATATCATTACAACTAWGTATATACATACATAYATACCTATGTATATGCTTTTATATACATACATATATAGTTCATATTTATATACACGTGTAGGTACATGGCCACCGCGCAGCTGGACTTTGTCTTAACGGGCAATATTCATACAGACAGACAGCTAAAACAARAATATAAAATCATAAAACTGCGTGCCTCGGTTTCCGTAAATCCAACCATCAATCCATCCATCCAACAACCGTTCGCTTGTTGTTTTGTTTGTTACATTCTGCTATCTCACACTCGTAATCAAGTAAACACATCAGCTGTGCGGGGCGAAAAATCGTCGACGATCAACAAACTCTGCCTACCACCACYGGTGCAGGTCAACAATAAAGACGACATTTCAAAAGCAGTGGCAAAGTCAACATATGGTTTTATTTTGGGTTTTTTCTGKTTTTCGTATACTCTCTGTTGTCTTTTGACAGAAGAGCGTTGTGCGCTCGCACAATAAAATTAATTTTTGAGCAGTGCTACCGTTTAGTTTAGTTAAAATTTCAAAATAAAAAATAATTTGATAGTTCGAGTAATTTAAGGGTACCGATGTTAAAAAAACAACATGAAAAATAGGTGAAATCGATTGATAACCCTGCCTACTACCAATATAACGGTGYTCTTAAAATCTGCGGAAAGTGCRATAAATCAATAACTAAAGCTAARCTTCAGACAAATTTCATTTCTCTCGATTTGGTCCGGTGTCAAATTTCTGAACCTACTGRAACGATATCAATCAAATTCGGTACATAACATTCCCCTGATATTCCTATASTACAGTGCAAAAACTAGGAAAATCGGACTGCAACCACGCCTACTTCCCATACAAAATAATTTGAAATTCTATTTGGTTATTTCACTTTCCTATGCATAAATCAAGAAGCATTTAATATAACGGGGTAAAGCTTTGCACGAATAATACGATTTAAAGTTACCACCTTATGACCAAAAAATTTTCCAAATCGAAACAGAACTGTTCAAGCCCTTAGGTATCGAATTGAGGACGCCAGTTGCCTTTTTATCGAAAAATCTGTCAATGTGTGAAATATATAATTGATGATCGTAGCCAATCCTTTCCTAATAATAATCTTAAAAAAATAGTTATATCGGCCAATACGAGAGTTAACTCAATGAAAATGAGAGACCGTGTTTTACTCATAAGAGATAAGATAACTCAATGAAAATGAGAGAGCGTGTTGCATCTTTGTACCTGAAAAGTTGACCCAGCCGTCATATCAACCTTAAGGGTAATCAGTATTATAATTTTTTTTTGCATGTTCAGTTCCCTTATACCCTTAGAATTTATGTAGAAACTCACTTTACCATTAGAAGGTTTCGTAAAAGGTCCAAAAATAATTATACCGCTCGACGTTCGGAGCACTCGTAGTGCACACCTCAAACCTTGAACGCGTTTTTCTCAAAACACACTTTTTTAAAAAATGTGAAAAAAGTTCTATTGTAGAATAAAAATTTTATGAAAAAAAATGTAAACAAAAAAAAAAAAAACAGCCCAGATTACCCCACTGACCCCTTAATATCAGGATTTTCGCACAGCCGGTTGATTTTATTCCTAATGGATTGTTGATGTTATATGAGTTACGGTAAAAAATYCCAGAGTGCTTTTCATTCGTATGAAATCGACTGAGGACGATTTAGTATAATTTTCACATTGTGTGTCCGATTTCGTCGAACAATGAAGACATTTTCCAATATTACCAACACCTAAAGGTATTTTGCCGGCTGTGATTCTTGCAAGTTGCAGGGGTATACAATTTTCGGTTACACTTGAACACAGCTTTTCCTTACTTGTATCATAACAATTTGTTTATTATCTTTAATATTTTTGGTTCTTTTTGAGTTTGTATTCAACACAATAAATAGCTCTGATGTCCACGTATCAGTCAACATTTTCAATATTCTACTTTGCACGCAAATAGAGCGTGTTTTAATTCCACCTTAAACAATGAGGCAGAAAATGAAGCTTTCTGGCAACGCTAATCGTATAGAGTGTTCGCCTAACCCCTTATGCTTGAACCTATTGTCAATACTAGTTCTACGCAGTGTTCTCATTTTCATTAGAGCAACAGAAAAGTTGTTCATTAATTTCTTAGGCCATCAATATATGTATATATGTATATGTACTCAATAGGTATGACATAGGCGTGTGTGCCGAAAAATTAGTTCTAAACGTTAAACGCGTATTTATTATTAATATTTTATAAATAAATGCATAYATACATACATATGTATCTACATGCATCCACACACAATCGATTGCTTTTGCAAAGAAACCATATGATTGGCGAAGCAAGCAACCCCTCTTGTCTGACTTGCTGTTTATCTGTCATAACCTCCTGCCACGCAACAAATTCAGCTTATCAATATGCACACGTACACAAACATTAATTTGTATATGCATTTAAAGTGTGGTTGCATACCCCTATCTGTCTATAACTCTGCAAGTTGCTCGCCCATTAAACTGGTTTCACGTTGCCATTGAGCAACATGTTGCTTGTGTTTGCTTATGTTGCTGCGGTGAGATTTCTCTATACCACTTGGTAGGTGGGGATGTATATATGTAAATGCTGTGTATTTTATTGCCCCTATGTTGTAGTTCTCTCTTTTCTCAATTTTCTTTGGTTTATGCTCTTGCGTTCTTGGCCCACAGATACTTTGTAAATTTGTCTGTATGTATTTTATTTGCATAGATGTTTGTTGTGTGGGGTTATTGTGCTGCCACTATTGGAATTGCGTCGTACACTACTTTTCAACGATTGCAAGATACTTTCTTGCTTTTTATTTATTGAACACTGATACTAAGTATTATAGGTATAGCTGTTGTTTTTGCCTGCAGCTGATTTCTTTAAGGAATTTCAAAACGCGCTTAACTCTCGACAGATTATTAATAGTAACAGTTAGTCACTTAGTATGAAAAGTTTTCGTTTGTGATTTCGAATTATAGTATAATCTCATGCCTCGTCGATCCAGCTAATAGCAATCTTTCGAGTTTATTTCTGTCTTCCTAGAAATCGTATTAGAATATGTACATATATCAGGTATATTAACGATCTCGAAGTAAAAAAATAAGTTTGTATATTTTTGTAGCAGACATGCTTTGATATTTTTTTTGTATAATTTTTGTTACGTAGCATTTTTAGAACAAATTTAAAAAAATTAGCAGAATTTTATTTCAAAAGTATACTTTGGAAAAATTCATAGAAGGTTGAAACTCATTCGAAAAATTGAAGAAAAAGTAATTTACGCGTGATCTGAAGTCGGGATGAGAAACAGTAGAAGTGTGGTTGAAATTTTAATAGTAAAAACAGTTAAACTCGATTTAAATATATGCATACATATGGATATCCTATAGAAAAATGTATATGGCAGAGTTGTAGCTAATGAACAGTTCTTCAACTTCTGTTTTTAAGACCTTTTTACTTTTACCTTTTGGGGTTTCATATTTTTATATATTTTAAACTTATCTCCTTATGTCCCAAACATACTTATGAGACTCACGACTTGTGATAAGTCGAAAAATAATAAAATCATAAATTTTTATACTTCTTTATGTCCTCGGTTAAAAACAGCCTTTTTCAGTAATGCTTTTCTCATCAACAAAAAAAAATATTTCATTAAAATTTTTTATTGTTACAAACATAAACTATTAACAGAGAAATTCTAAAATTTTGGAAAAAAATATTTTAAACTCGGCGCCATTGAGACGCCATTTCCATAATAAATTTTATATTTAAAAGTCGGTTAAACATATGTATTTATATTCACGAATAGTACACAATAAAACTATAAATAACAAGTTACAAAAAATACTAAAAATCATTGTATATCTTGTTTGTTGTTATATTAAGTTTTTGTTATAAAAAATAATGATGTTTGCCACATTATTTTATGACAATTTATAAAAATCAATAATTAAATAAGCCCTTCTAATAATATTATATTAGAGACGCCTCTGTCATATCAAAATGTCGTCGTCTAAAATTATCATTTCGCAATTGTAGTCGTAGGCGCTCAATGCGCGCTCTTGTATTACCTTTTACTGCATTTCTCTTTCAAAACCAGTCTCTCTGCGTCTGCGACTTGTATAAAAAGATTTTCACGTTCCATATACGCAGGTACGTTTGAATGTGGGTATATGTTTATATCGTCTTTTGTTGGCTATTTTGTTATTGTAATTGCGTTTGGTTTTACTTTTCAGTTCAAGTGATGTATATACATGTGTATGATAATGTTAAATTTATTGCGTTGTTTGGCTGTATATAAGTACATTTTCCTACTGGCTTGACTTTGGTCTCGCTCAGCTGTTTAGAAAGTCAATGTGTTGCGTTTGGAATTCAGTCGAACAGATACAACGCTAGTGACAACATCGTTGACCAGCGACCAGAGTTGCAGTCGAAAGAGCAGCTGAGTTTGCAGTGAGTGAGTGAACAGAACAGTGCAGTGTGCCTTTTGTAGTGTTGGAGAAGTGCAGAGCAGAGCAGTCGTGAAGTGACGGATACACGGTGTGTGTTTGTGTGTGGCTGCCTGCTAAAGTATTGGCTGTGCGATTCAAGGAGTTCGCTGTTGAGAATTCGTAGATTGAAAGCGCACGCCAATCCACAGCACACTTTATAAATATAACGCAAGAAAGAAACACATGCAAATATATGTATATGTGTGTACGAGCGAATGGCAGATATAATCAGTTCGTCGGTCGGTTGATTGCTGGATTTCCGAAATTAAAAGTGCCTGCACAACATCAGTTCATCTTCCGCAGCTACGCGAATACGTTGACTCGCCAACTTCTACATACAAACATACCCTGTGCTTTGCATTGCTCCCTCTATAAGCTAACTTGGACTATACAAAATCAACTATAAAAATAAACATCAAAGCGTAAAAGTGATACGCCAGCAACAGACCATAATACACAATTTCTAGACTCTTGAAGAAACGCTGAATGTGTGAGAGCCTAAGTTCGTAAGTTTATTTGTGTCAGTTACTATTTTATGCTCAATTCGATTTTAATTTGTGTGAAAACGTAGCAAAATTCAATTGAAATTTAGTGTGCAACACCAATTTAGTAGTTCACAAAGCAAATTCAGTGCAGTGAATAAACCGTAGCGACGCCAGCAGCGCAGCGTACGGTAACAGTGACAGTGCAGTGCAGTCGATAGAGCAGTGTGATAACATACCGTAAATAAGTGTAAAGTGAGAGACGCGTTACTCGCATGCAATATACGAAGGAGGTGTGTCACACAGCAAGCAAAATTTTAAATTTAAAATAATTATAAAACAAAAAAATAATTGATAATCATTGGATTTTGCTGGTCCAACCGCATACGCCACAATCTTTTTCTAAACTACACCATATTTTCGCGTAAAACTCAGCTGACAGCAGCATTAAATCCGCAGCGCGATCAGCACACAAGCAGACCAGTTTTGTTGTTGTAAAATTTATCGACAAGTCAGCGCTGTCGTGAGTGTGTGTACATGCAATAATACATAGCAGTGTATATATGTCTATATACACGTATGTGTGTATATAAATAACTTGTGAGTTTTCTGCCTTTCCACGGACGACGTTTATATATTTTGCCTGACGGTCAGTCGAGTCTGTCACTAGGTATAGYTCGCTCTCTAGCCAAATACGTAGCTAGATATGTGCTCGCTGCCAGCTTGATTACGAATTGTCTATACTATATTGTCGAGAAACATTCGCTTTTTTGCGCTGCTCGCACATCAGTTGGCGTTTGGACGTTCAGTCGCGCGTTGGATTCGGTTGGGAAATTATCTTCAGTGTCTAGTGAAATAAAATWAAAAAATAAAAAATAAACATTTATGTACATATGTACAGGCAACAACAACACAAGTTGAAATAATACAAAATAGCAGTCAGGCACCGAACAGCTGACGACTTGTCTGCACGTTTATTAGTGCTGAACTCAGTCATCAGTCGGTTATCTACATTTGAACTGTAAAGTTGTGACATTCGTTGTTTACATAGCTACACATACAAACGTACGTGCAAAGACATTATTGTTTCCTACAAACGTTGTGTAGGCAGCTTCATTGGCTCGGCAGACATAAAACTAATGGAAATTTATCTGCGTCAAAAAGCGAAGGCAAAGTTTAGATTAAGGCGGACACAAACGTTCAATATTTGCAGTACCAACACCAACAACACCAAATACAATTATAAAAAAAAAACCAATATAAGTGCCAATAAATTGCAGAATTTTAAAATACATTATAATAAAGAAACAAAAACTTGTGAAAGTACGATACAGAAAGCATCGATCATTATCTACAATAAAAACAATTGCAGCAATTATAACCTTTTAGTATCCTTCAATGCGATCACATGAAGGTTCTAATAGGCATTCGCGTTGAGATTCAAGTGTTTCGTGTGTAATAGCTTCACCTAAACGCCAAATCAAGTTTCAAAAATTCGTAAAAATGTTTTAAGCGTTCTAGTGCAAATAAATTCAGTTTATAACAGCTACGCTTTGGATTTTCCTATTACCTTCCATACCTGTATATCGATGTGTGTGTGTTGTGTGATGCAATAGAAAACTCAAAGCGTCAACGGCGATCATCTGCGTTACAGCGACAACAACAAARGCAACAACAGTGAAAAGTGTTTGTGTTATTAGTGACAGCTGTGCAGTTTTCTGTTATATGAAAGTAAAGTACTTAAAAAAAAAAATCTAATAAATAAATCATAAAAAATTGTAACAGCAGTCAAATATTGTTTTATACAGATTGTGTTAATAGAAACTGTTTTCAACAGCAACAACCTGGTGTGTATATTCGAATTCGCATTAAATATTATTTTATTTTTGATATCGTTAAAGCTTTAAGTTATTTTATTTATCAGCTATGAGAGTACATTTCTACTTTATTTTAATGATTTTGTACAGTGTGGTATGAGTTGTCATTTGGTTATATACAAATTATTTTATAAAATCTTAATTGTGTGAGTTTGCAAAAGGGATTTTTTTTTTACTTTTGTGTGATTTAATCGAGTTTGCCAGATATTTGGCGAGTTGTTTTTGTAATTTTGTGTATAATTTAACTTATGYTTTTATGTCACGTCGTGCCCGTCAGCAGTTACCTGTGTGTTTCGCCATATCAGCTGTTTTTAGCTGTCATTTTGAGGCATACGGTGTTTACATCAAATTTTTAGTTGTTTGACATTTTTTTACTGAAAGTAGCTTGGCATTTTTTAGTTAATTGTGTTTTACTCAAAGCAGATTTTGAAATTTAAAAAATGTGTTCGAAGATTGCGACAAACGTCATAAATGAAACGAACTGTACAACTTTCTTCCAACGATTGTCAGTGTATTTCACCATATCGCCAGTTTTGTAGCTGTAACTCATGAAATCAAACTTGTCGATATATTTTGACAGTTTTTGTTTACCAAAAATTGTTGTTTGACTTTTGCAGTTTGTGTTCCATTTAAGATAGGTTAGATTGATAGATTTCGAAGTTCAATAACAAACATTCAAGTAATTCTAAATAAAATCTTCCAATTCTACAGTTCATGAACACAGAAGTTACATATGTATTTTAATACGCCATGATATGTCAGACATACGCCAAAATCAGTTAAGGTGCGAAATTGTCAAAATCTCTTATAACTAAGAGTAAAAGAGCGGCAGAGAGAGGTCTTTGTAGTAATCTGCCACTTTTTTGTGATTTTTCGCTCAACAAACTGTATGCTTTGAAATAATGAAAATTTGTGTAGTAGAATTTTCATTTTCTCTATGCAAAATTTTAATTCTCACCTTCTTTATGTCAAGGTCATCGATTTATTTTAGTTTTTCCACGATTTTATCGGACGCTTTATTTATAAATTACGTGAATTTTAACATTTTTGGAATGACTTTTGCGTTGCCCTTTTTGCACTCTAAATTTTCTACTCGTTCCGTACTTTCTTTCTTTTATCTTCGGTGGTTCACACTGCTGATAATAGTAATGCAATCACACAGATGTGTGTATGTAAATACGGTATACATATAATTATGTGTATGTGAGTTTTTGTCATGTGTATCATGCAGTATAGAGATAAATATCAGTATGCTGACCCATGCTAAATGCAACCAGAAAAAGAAACAGGCAAAATTACATATTCAATTTTATTCCATTTGCTCGCAATTATTTCTTCTGCCTCTACATCGCCTAAAAATAGCCAGTGCGCATTCAGAGCGTTCATATGGCTTTGACAGTATTCAGAGTTCATTATCAGCACTTTGTAAAAAAGTCATTACGGATTCAGAGCATATGTGSACATATGCTTGCCTTGTAGTTTTAAAGTCTAATTGTTAGTGTTTTACAAGAAAAAAAAATTATTTTCGAATTTTTGCCCACAGTTCAGCACTAGRCCCACGACAAAACAATCCTGTAGACTTTTGGTACTATATATGCATATTTTTCTTTATATTCGCTCACTCAATGTCAATGCGCACTCCTTAAAGCTCTATCACACCACCCCCAACTCGTTTTCATAGCTCTCTTATCAACAGCCTGCTCAACATTATTCGCGCTGGCCAGCAAGGATTTCGCTTGTGTTTCCAAGGCGACCTTATGTTTTTGTCTGTTATAGCAAACATATATATGTGTATGTATAGTACATATGTACATATGTATGTAGGTATGCAAATAAATGTTCGCTATCAGTGAGCCTGCTTTCTGCTAGTCGTATGTCCTAGCGCTTGCTATGAGGCGGTTTGAAGTGGAAAATTCGAAATAATTGACACACATTTGTTGTCTGCCGTTCATGATTGAGGCGCATTCATAGCAAATACATATGTATATACATATAGCAATATAAGCAAAAAAGTGTATATACATACATATGTATGTATACCTTGTATTCATACGAAAGTACAAGCGCACTTCTATGTACATCTGTATGTATGTCTGATATATTGGTATGTGGGCTCTTGACTTGAAATACTCGTTTTGCATTTACGTACCCTCGCAACGTTTTTCTTTTTCTGCGTTGTTCACATTTCTTTTATATTCAATTTGGTTTGCTTTTTCTTTGTCTTTTCGTTTGCGTTTTGCCTGATGTGTGGAATACAATGCTCGCGAMAGACTGCAAACGACATCTGYCAAATAWTAAAATACACACGTTCTTATGGTCGGACCTATTTTGACAGCTGCACGACTACACGACTGAAGGCCGACAGTTGTCGCTAACTTCAGTTTAATCCTATATTTGCCAACGACAGTAGAGTTGACAGTAGAATGGAAGATAGAGATGAGGTAGAGTGGTGATGCCACTAATATGTAAAATGTAAAATTACTCAAAGCTCTAACAAACCTGACGTTATTTTACCAATAAAAGCATAAAATAGCTCTGTTACATCATTTATAATAACAATTGATAATTTAGAACAAACAAATTTACCTATTTACTTATTTTTTGCTTAAAAATTTCACTTTGARTAAAWTATTAAAATTTCATTGAAGAGCAAGGTATYWSKATGGCCACAACGARAKTGTGTRCATGCAAAATGGACAACTGGGTTGTTTTGTGTACATTACGGCCATTSTTATGTTGCTGCCCTCTTACAAACGTTTATGTAGTAGGATTCACAACGCCATTTTCAGTTCACTGTCGTGCTGCTGTAGTCTGTCGCGAGCATTGTGTTCCGCACATGACTCGTTTCGGGCATCGGCCTGTCTTCTATATTCACAAACTGTCTGCGCTTATCTATTGCCTTTTTATTTCGTTTCTGTTTTTGCTTTTCAGATTTCATACGCGTTTCAGACCTTTGTTTGCATTTATGTTTGTGTTTGTTTTGTTTATGAATCTGGTTTTTGGTTTTTTTTTTTGCTGTTTTTTTTTGGCTTTTTCTGCCTTCCTTCCTTTTAAGTTTGGCCTTTCTTCTCGGCTCTCTGTTTTGTTAGCTCTGTTCTCTTTATTTTTGTACCTTTGCTTAGTACCCTTTGGCTATGCCTTCTTTTGCGCAGTGCTTTTGTAGCTAACACAGTTGTAGGGAGAAACACTCCACAGCAGCCTTAGTTGTATGTATGTACGCAAACGAATATTATGACTGTGAACTGTGTTGTTATCAAGACTTTAGGTTTGATTTTGTTTATAAAATGCTTGCTTGCGATATTCTTACTGACATATGTACAGTGGACCAATAAAGTTTACATACACCTAGTTCTATTAAATTACGACACGTTTATTTTTTTCAAAATGAATAARTTTTGTGTTTTTTTCTATCAATTTCAAGATATGTATCTTTAACATTAAATAGAGCATATCAAAATATTTCTTTTTACACAAATAAAAAAAAAAAAATAATGCTAAAGCTTAAAATGCGGCTGTATCTAATTCATATGTATGTATATACAAAAGTGCAGAGGAAACGCCAGAGATCCTATAAAATATACATACATATGTGCCTACATATGCATTTACAAATAAATGATCAGCGTGACAAGATGATTCGATTTATGATTCGTCTATCCGTCTGTCAATATCTGAGTTTTTGCAAATGTTCGTTTCCCTCTAAGAAACTGCTCATTTGTTGGTACCGCAGTTATCGGACCTCTGTAGTAGATACCATACAAACTGAA